ACACTTAACATTCCTTCTGTTTTGATTTTTGGAAACAAACTGAGCTGCTATGACGCTTGGTCTTCCAATAAGGTTTTAACATAAAATAAGGTTTATTTTCAAATAAAGCAATTTATGTTAAAAATTTCATATGTGTAATTTATGTGGATATCAGAATATTTTTAATTGTTTGGTTAATTTTACAATACTTTTTATCTGTAAATCATATGTATATATAAAGCCCCCTTTTTTCTGTTATCCGTTTTTATCCGGTTCATTTAATTTTACCAAAGCGCTTATTTTGTCTCAGCCAATCAGATTGCCGCACCAGGCATCCTATTTATATTATTCTCTGTGTATCTCGAAGTGCTGCCGAAAAAAATTTGGTGCACAAGAAAGCAACCACCACCTCCACTCCATCCCCCACATTTATTTCGTTTTTTAATAATAAAATTATTAGGGTATTTGTTCTTAAGGGGACGCTTTTTATGCACCACTTTTGTTTCCAATAAAGTTTGATGTTGTATTTTCCACAGTATCACATCTCTGTGTTGTAACAATATGGTGGCTGGGAGACCACTGTTTTTTAATCATTTATTGAACTGCATTTCTAGTCAAACTTTCCATGTTTCTGGTACATGTATGTCTCCCAGCCAAATTTTTTTTTAATTGTCTTATGGATTTCATTTTTTCGTCATTTAAATAAATGACAAATTTTTTACACTTAACATCTCTTCTGTTTTGATTTTTGGAAACAAACTGAGCTGCTATGTTGCTTTGGTCTGCCAATAAGGTTTTAACATAAACAGTGATATAGTCAATGATTTGATGTATATGAATGGACTTGATTTATTCTTTTTTTAATGAGATTGGAGATGTTTTAATTTTGTAATGACCAAAATTGCCATAGCAGCTTTTACCGAATGAAAGGTAATTGTATACATAATGACCCAAAGGTTTTTCTGTCTAGAGGATTAAACCAATATTAAAAACGTTGAAAACTTCTCATAAACATTGGTTAAAAATGTGAAGATTGGAATTAATTTGCTTTGTAAGTCGGAGTTGTTTTTGGTTTTTTTTTTTCGAGTATTGTTCGAGAACCCCTGCCTAAATTCAACTTGAAAACTCCGCTTCTATTTACTAAGTCATTTAAAACGGATTTAGGGACACGCTAATAATTTTTTTTATCCTAAGTTTGTCATTTGCATTGGAAAGTGGTGATAAAACTTCACATCATAATCAGCCATCATATTTTAAAATCGCAGCCATTGCCCTGTAGATTTTTTAAAAAATGTGAAAAAATATCTTTTTTCTCAGTCAATTCTTTGACACAAAGATCATTTTGTGCATCAGATCAAATTGATTTCTGGAAATCAAAATCGATTGAACAAACATATTTTCTGTTTTTAATGAGAAAATTTTGATTTGATTTTTAATTTTTTCTCGGTATTTCAAAATGCATGCTATGTATGTGCTATGTATGTGTTGGTGGAATTCAAAATATGCAATGCAAAATTAACAAATATATACATATGTTCACATGCATTTATCTTCAAATTGTTATTATACCTATCTTGAAATAAATTTGACCTACCAGGTAATTACAGATGAATGTAAAATGTGAATGTTATCTTCTATGAAAAAAAACAATTGATCTAAAAAAATATATAGATGTGATGTATTCATTAGAAAACTCACCCCAATACAAGTCCATGCATCATTAAGGGCGTGATTACTACTTTGATTTTATAACAGGCATCCAATCATGGACCTCATCAAAGAACTTAAAGAAGGGCTGTCCAGTAGTCCTAAGTATATTCCAGTCTCTTATGACCATCAGGGACTAGAGTATGATGAACAGTGTTATCATCTCGAGGAATTTTACCATTACAAGGAAGAGGAAGCTCTTGTCAAGTCTAACGCTAGAGTAGGTTTTTTAAATCATTTTTAATTTTCTTCTATTATTTTTTTAGGGAAAAAAACGAAAATCTTTACCTTGAAACATCATTCTTAATCCTTTAACGGGGAAGGAGAATAAATTTGCATTCAGTATTTCCCGACATGGAGCAACTGTACGACCGGTGTAAGGACGAAAAGTGACGCCTGCAGAATATTGACCAGGAGATCATTTTTCTACGTAGAAAATTACCCAGCGTTAATATTCTACGATAAGAAGGGTCATTTTTCGACTGTAGAAAAACATTCCAGACCAGTAATTCTAAGAAACCACACACACGTTGAAAAATGACCCCCATAGAAATTTGACACCCTACTTTTTTAAACATTAAAACCTGATATGTGTCTCCTGATATTTTTTTATTCTTTCAATTGGATTTTATGTACTTAACACTTTTCCAACATATGTTTGATTGCATGTTTTAATGGTAACATCACAATCAATGTATGAGTATCTGGTGTGGATTTTTTTTTTATTTTATGAATCTCCACATATTTCATTCAGCATGTTATAGAATTTATTTTTATTTATGGATTAAACTAATATCAAGCCTTTAAAGGTTTTTCATTATTAATGTAAAAAATGAGATTTTTATAGGATGTGATATCCCGGCTGAGTACTCCCTGCAAAGTATTCGACATTGGATGTGGAAATGCTAAAAAATCTCAGATGTTTTTGGATGAATTACTACATCATCAAAACACCGTAGAATACGCACCTATTGACATTTCAAAAGGTAAGGATCCATATGCAAATGCACACAATATGTATCATTGTATTTTTACCCCTACTTAGCATTTCAAGAGTCTGCTTTTGAATTGTTTTGGTTTGTAGATTTTCTAAATGAAGTGTGCAATGTCCTTCGGCAGACTTATGGGGATCGTATAATAGTTGATCCAAAGGCATACGATCTATTGCAAGCGTTGTCTAAGATAAGGTATAAATATAAAATCACTGAAAATATGGGTGGCATTATTACTCAGACTGATGAAAAACCCTTGTTATTTTTAGCATATAGAGTGGTTATAATTTACGCTGAAAGTCATGGAGAATTTTGTTTGTATGTTGGTTTATGTCCCTCTCGAGAATATTTCACTCATGCGGAGATGCCATCACTTGCCAATGGAGGGCTGCAAATTTTGACATTAGATAGAGCGTTCTATCGGTAAAATGATATATATTGTCCCGCAGACCCGGTTTAGCAATAAAACTGTTCTTTGTCCTAGCAATGAAGCAAAATAAACACGAGTGATAATTAGAACTCAGAGCATCTACGAGGGCTGTTCGGAAATTATTGAAACATTTACATTTACTCCATAAAGGACGGAGATAAATTCATGAAAATTCATCAACATTTTATAAGGAACCAATTAAATAATAATGCATAATTTCTAATTCCTATGATAATAAGAATGTTTCGGTGAAATGATAAATATGCATATGTCAATCGACCCGGAGCAGCATCACTATGTCATTTAACGTCACGTCAGCCGGAGATGGTTTCACATGTAAAACGATAGCAAAGCGTTTAATAATTTTCCTTCTTTGTTATTACATATAACTTTACAAAAATCAAACAGTCTCGTTTCTCAAACTATTCTTTAAAAACGTATGGCATTGCTAGTCCGGTGTAAAATTTTCATTTGTGGGAAAGGATGACTTAGAATCATGCAGAGCCGATTTATTCAACGCGGGTCAACGAAATAACTACCTTAACGATATTAATATCGTACGTAATAACTGATGGTTGTCCGGAGCTTTTGATTTTACTCTGGTTGAATTAATTGTTTAAAAAAATGAATATCAATTAAATAAGAAAAAACCAACCCATTATTTTTTTCTGTTTTTTATTGTTTTAGCAGGTCGTCCAGTCTGGAAAAAGAGTTCTACATTGCGCTACACAAAACTTTAGGTATGCTGGCTGCTCCACCCTTGACGTCAAAATCCAGTTTTTCGTTCTTTGCAGATTTCTCTACCGCGCTTAATTTTTTAATGATATCCGTATTTGTGATCAAAATTCTAACAAAGTTGCACAACATGAATCTGAAATAAAGCTGACAAATTAATACACATAAATTGAATTATTTTCGCTCTTATTAAGGGTCCACAAAGAGTTAGATCGTTGGTGTTACATATTACAATATCTGATTTCATGACTGCTCCGGTTACCCCTACTATTGGCACATTTATGTAGCATTGTACAGAAAATATTCAATATTTATAAAATATTTTTTGCTTTTATTAATTCTAAGTGTATGTCAAACGTATATGCAAAATTTCACCGAAAGATGTTCATTAGAAAGCAAAATACACACAATGTCTCAATAATTTTCGAACAACCCTCGTACTTTGAACAATCCAGTGAGTTCCAAATGTAAACATGGCCTGTGAATTTGAAACGAGAGAGAAACGTGTTAAGAATGTCCGTCTTTCAATGGATTATGCTTAGCAGCTACTGCGTCAAGTGACCTTTGTTTATGCGGTCTCATCCGAAATACTGGTCTCCTTGTACCACGAGCTTTGAACCCGCAACATAAACATCAACTTCTTATTCCACGATTCTAACCAATGCGCCACGCAGGCTATCGTTGTGGGGTCAAATTCAAACACGCGGCATTAAGACCTTTTTTAGCGTCGTGGAGTAAAAAAAATTATCCTAACGCGGCGAGTTTGAATCTTACTGTCCATGGGACTTGAAGAATGATCTGTAAAAATTGAAGTCTTCTATTCAGTAGATGTTAGCACGAAAGAGATCCCTTACGGTTCAGTTGCCAGGTTGAATTTGCAATCTTCCAAGGGTGACGTTTCAATCAGAGTAAAAACCCTCGAGGAGAATAAAAAAAAAAGAGTCAGCCTTCTTGGAACTTGGATATCGAACTGGCATTGAAACCTATATCTGTTTTCCACGTTTTATATCTAACCGTAAAAATAACAACAAGTGAAGGACTTATGTTGGTGTTCTGTAGATGCATTTTATTTTACAGGAAGTACAGAGATAGAAAACTTATTCTCTGGGTTAGTGGACTACAGATGTTTCCCAAAGATTCCCAACTAGATATATTGTCAAACATTTCCTCGACCTTAGACTTGGTAATTCGCGATATCGGTACCTCTTATGCACATGCATTAATTGCAAATTTTCTATTCACTATTTTTAAATATTTTTTTAGATTATCACGTGCCTTGTCTGATATTGTGTAATATTACCAGAAACTTTACTTTTATTTTTACCATGGAATGCATAAGATACTAGGGTTAATGAATACCATGGTAACGTCATCTAATCTTAGAAAAAAGTTTTCCAAATGCAGATGATAGGTGATGAAAAGATATATCGACAACCAATTATTATAACTGATGATTATTAAGTAAAACAATTGTTTTACTTATTATGGTCGACACGATGTATCACAATGAGTTCGAAATAAAAGATACAGTAGCCCAGAGTCTGACATATCTCAATGGTAAGCGAACAGCAAATATAGGTGTTTCTCTTCCAAAAAACAAAGTGAAACAATGAAGGAGATAACGAAAGGTATTCAATATCAAAGTGCATAAAACAATACAAAAAAGGAGCAGAGCAAACACGGACCTCCAAAACATCGGAGGTGGGATCAGGTACCATGGCGGAGTGAGCATCCCCTGCTAACCCGTCATGCACACCCGTCGTGTGCTCCTCGTCATGATCGGGAATTAACGGAAAAATCCGTCGTCAATTCAGGTATAAATAATGGACTAACAATAAGTATGAAAAACTTCAGTCGGCATTTGACTCAATGATACATTGTATTTGCTGACTTTATCACTGTAGATATCATCATTACATCTTACAGATAGTGTTACAAATTGTATAGGACAGTGAAAAGTTAACTTTTCTTTGCTTACAGAAAATGATGCCTGTATAATAACAGCTGATATTACTCAAAATAGAAAGACCATTGAAAGAGCATACCTTAATTTTGATGGTAAATAGAATAAATTAAAAAAAAATTAGTAAAGGAATAGAGTTAATTGTATAAAATGGATTTAACAATGTGCCAGGTCTTATATAATTGAAATATGCATGATAAAATATATAATAAAAAAAAATATGGTTTACTGTTGTATAAGATTTTACTATATAGAAAAAAACAAAGCATTAAAAGCACTGTAAATGTTTCGGCTACACATAGATATAAAGAGAATATTAAACATGTTATATCTTATTTTTTCCCTTTCGTTTCTTTCAGAGCAACATCCTTGTGCAAAACTGTACACAAATGGAATCCATGTGTTAAATAGAATGTTTGAAGCAGATATCAATATGTCACAATTTAAACTGGAGGGAAGATATGTAGAAGATAAGGACGTTTCTAGTGCCAGCTACCTACAAGTGTGGATGCGTTCTCTATGTAAACAGTCGTATGAAATAGGTACAAAAATTAGTAAACTATGCAATTTTGCGGAAACATTCAAAAGATATGGTTTGAAAATTTCATACTTTTTTCATGATTAATAATGGCAGTCATGTTGTTAATTAGTAAAAGTATCTAAATAATTGGTTCCTTTTAATATAAAAAAAATTGTAATTAGGAATGTGTCTGTCTTTTTTTTTATCAAGTTGATTCCTTTGTTATGTCAAATTTATCTATGTATGCAATACTTCTGATTTTTATTTATATAGCTAAATCTCATTTCAGATAATTTAGGAATGACAATATCTTTTGGAGAAGGCGAAAAATTAATGCTTCATGGAGGGAATGGACTTAGTCACAAATACACTATGAACCAACTGGAATATCTATTCGGAAAGGCAAATTTACTTATTTTAAAGGGATAGAAAAATGAAAATAGCGCCTTGTTACTTTGCGAGCGTAAAAAGTAATAATATAAGAATTGTAAATTTATAGTAGGATATTTGCAAGTGCAAAAGATAAAAAATAAATTTGAACCAAAGTCTCATTATGTTATTAGGTAGGATGAAGGTACAGGGATATACTAGTAGTTTTTAAAAGTCACAATTTTAACAGTACATTGTATACGACGTTATGTTTTGTTAACCTCCGTCGAAATGGATGCGCTTTAAAAGCTAGTTTACACTTGGGTGTTAACGTAAAGTTGACGCGTAACGTAATACTGAGCCTGGCTTAGTCTATGATACAGTGCAGGATTCGGGGCCATAAAAGTCAGATAAATGCAAAGGTAATGCACTTTTGACCTTTGTCTCACTTATCCACTATATATTCCTTTTTTGTTAAAGTGAGACTGAAATAATGTGTTAATTCATATAAATTTCATTCCCTCGTGCCATACACAAGTAAGGTTTTCTCTAGTCTTCCATTGAAAAAGACAAATTGATACTATCATAGCTAATATGAAACAAGAACAATTCTCTGAATTTTTTTTATTCCAAAACAACCATTTTGTATACAAAATATGAAGATTAGTAACAGTATTGTGTGTCTAGAAGAAGAAACATTTGCAAACACTATCTGCACAATGCCAAAAACCGTCTTTTCCATGAATGCTGCAATGTCCTAACGTCAAGCTGTCGTTTACATATGAACAACGTGTTGCTGAAAAAGAATCAAATCTAAGAATGCTTACCTTAGGACAATAATTTGAAGATTAAGGTAATAAACACGACGGATATTTAAAGAATTCTTTATATTTTAGCCTGATTTTTGTAATTATACGAGATTGTATATGGCTTGATCATTATGTGTCGGAAGAATGAGATGTACAGAAAAGTATAACTTACATGTTGCATGTTCACATGTACACATTCCCGAGTGACAGCCTTTCACGTAACCGTCAGCACAATGTAACTCATTACTAGTACAAACACCGTCAGAATTACATCTAGCAGCCAGGCTTACTCCTACTGTAAAGTATTTTATTTTATATCTAACGATTCAAACATTCACCAAAAATGATAAAAATGAAAAGATTGATAAGGTGATAGGGCAAGATTCTCTTCAAAGCTTTACTGCGTAAAAAATCTAAGGATTTACATGCATCCGCTCGAAATTTCTTTTTAATGTTTATTAAACTATTCCACGGTCTAAAGAACGTGTAAGCTATCGAAAGAATATATCATATAACTTACATAAATGCATGTCTAGGTCTAACGAAGTAGCCAAGGAGCTTTTGAGTTCTGTTCTAGTTACATTTTAACTGAGAAAAATGAAATAAGACGTCTGTCTGTCAATATCTTTTTCATTCTAAATAGACATAATCGGATTATTTCATTTCAAATGGTGTAATATATAGAAAGCATTTACTTACATAGGCAGACCAGAAGAACCAATGTTCGCAAAAAACCCATTTTCTTATAATATAATTTACGACACACTTAATGATCATTTATATACATAGACATTTGTGAGGTCTCAAAGGGGGAGAAAATTTATTGCATTTATTCTTAATAATTAGAAATGCTCTGGAATCAAATTTTTTTTCTAACTTTAAGGGTTTAGTGTATTTCTATTTTATCTCAATGATATTAATATTAATTAGATGAACAACAATTAGTAAAGAAATAATATGTATTTTTGGCCCTCCTCGAATACAATGGCGTGATAGAATCATACGATCCTTATCTCCCTCGCAAGGGTTATATTGTCAATGTCATTTTGACTTTTTGTTTAAGCCTTGTCGGGAAAATGTTTTATATCAATATAATTATTCTTTAACAAAGTAGAATATGTACCTATTGAAATTATATTACATCATATCTTAATATTGTGTTCACCTGTTTTTGTCAATTCTAAGTTAAAATTTCAGTGAAAAATAGAAATTTCTATAGTGATAAACATATACTTTTAACTTTAAGGGTTTTTTACGTCACGGATTTGACTGTTTGTAGTATTGCAAAGAGAAAACTTAAATTTCTAACGCGTCATCAGCGGCAGGTAATTCCTGCTGCAAATTATTACCTTTTCTATAGTTTTTTTGCATAAAACATATCCTCAGTCGCGATAAATAATCATCGCGTATCGATTTAAAACTAATGAATCACGAATAAAAGACTTCGCCAAAAACGAATGGTTTACAGCTCACCCACCACACAGTGTATGTTACTGTACTCCAGCATGTTAGATGTTCACGATGAGATACTTTTGACTTCGGTCAAGTAACCTCTACATGAAGCATCCACTGTAAAAATTTTCGCCGCTGAAAGACAAAGGAAAAAAGAAATGTTGACTTAAAATTGACACGAAACAATTATATTATTATTATTATTTATTACAAAACTTACACATTATATACACTTATTCAA